GGGGGGGTGGCTGAGAAAGTAGGAAGGTCCCAAATACTGAGACAGAAAATCCATTTAAGTATATTCGGCAGGATTCAGGAAAAGAAGTGAATAATTCCATAGCCATACCAGACAGGAAATTTTCGGCTGACAGAATACTTTTACCTAAACTGATGTCTGGCCACAACAGTAGAGAAGCTCAAACTCTAAATGGTATATTAAACACAGGTTCTCAGATACTATGGTAAGGGACATGGTGTAACTATTTGTGATAGATCTTTAGTAATCATTAGCAGATAAGCCCTTAAAATTTCTCATAAAGATTATGCATGCAGTACAATAGCACCCATTCAGCTTGCAGAACTGTTCCAATTCAGAGTGGAAGAGGACTCTTACTGAATTAGGAACAGAGAACAAATTTGCAAAGGGAGGCATGTCTACCACAAGTTTCTTGGCACACAAAAATGCAATGCCAAAAGCATAAGGTAGGAATTTAGGAAGCCAGGATTTTGTAAGCCTTGAAGGGTGCAGGCAGAAAACATTTTGAAGTATAAAAGGGTTTCAAACAAAGCAGGGTGGGGAGCTGTCAAGTGCAGCTCTGTAGCCCCAGTCTCTTGAGGGGGGCTGAGTCTTTGCTCCTGGCATGGAGGAGAGGGGAGATTTGGGGAGGGGAGGGAAGCCAATGTCAGCAAGCACTCTTCCACGTCCATTCTCCTAGGGCATCACCCTCCCTGCTGGAAATGGGACAACAAACAGAGGGAAGTACATGGGAACTGGGGGCTGGAGAACAGAAACCTTGATTTGGGAGGGGAGAAGGCAGAGGGAGGGGGGAGGAAGGTGTATAGTTTACCAGTTCTAACAAAGTGCTTGGCACTTAGGGGTGGGAATGGCAACAGCCCCAAAGCAGTTTGGGGGGGGGAAGGAAGGAAGAGGGTAAGTGGAACACTGCACTGAGGGATGCCTGGAAGACTGACCTACCAGAGGCATACACTCATACACTGGTTATCTGAAACATTTAAGTCTGTCTGCAGCCTAAGACAGCAGTTCCCAAATGAGTACTGGTCCTAACCTCACCTATAGTCAGATAATCTATGCAATGTCATGCACATGTTCGCCACTGTTTGTGTGCCCACAATTAACAGGGCAGGGATTTGCCACGCTCTACCTGCTCTATGGTAACTGCTGCTTCTGCCTGCTCTTAAACCCATGGTGAGAATTAAACTGGGGCCCTCTACATTGACAGGGACATATTTAAGTTGCCCCGGTTTATTTTTCCACTCAGCACAGGGCAGCACAGTCACCACACGCACAGTTACAGTGTAGAGTACTTGATAGTATGTTTGCTCCCCCTAGCTCCCCTTCAGGCATATGATATTTCTGCACCTGCAATTACTTTGTAGTAAGTGAAAATAAATTAAATCTATTTAGACTGTTACATCCAAAATTAAGATGCTCTGGTTTAACTCTCATCACAGAAGATAATGAAAATAGAGGAAGAGTTACTGCAGATACAGTAGAGCAGTGGTGCTCAACCTTTTAGAGTAGCAATCTGGGCGTGCTGCAGGTGATCACTCCCCTCAAGGACAGGACAATGTCAAAAAGGGAGGAGAGGAAGAAAGGAAGAAGATGGGGGCACGGAGGGCTATAGGCACAGGCAGATCTAAGATTTTGAAAAAGGTGGGGGGTACAAGTTGGTATGGTTTATCATCCCATAAAACACAACTCATGCTTTTCTCCAGGTAAAAAGAAAGTAGCAGCTTTGCTACATGCTAAGTGCCTAAGGCTATATTATTCAGTTTAATACTTGTTTTTGCTTCAGTCTAAGTTTATTGGAATGAGTCAAAAACAGCCTGCAAGGCTGTGAAACAGGAGCTATATTACAGGGAGTAGCTAGCAGACAACTGAATTGCAGAAGAACATTAGTGGAACATCAAGACCATTTAAAAGGAGAGAGGGCAATTTACACCTGTCGAGTGAACAGTTTAGAAGGAAATCAGGTAGATTTTAATGAGCCATGAATTCAATTGTTCTTTGAGTAGATGTGATATCTTTTATTAAACCAACTGAGTAGCTGAAAAAGTTTTTGGCAAGCTTTCCGGCACAGTCACCCTTCTTCAGAAGTAGGGATTCTCTGCTGTTCTCAGACTCCAAGAAATAAGAGAAGCTAAAAGTGTGGCAGGGTGGCAGTGAAAATGTAAATAAGTAGAAATTAGAAAGACAAAAGGTAAAGCAGAGAAGTACAGCAGAGGGGGGAGGAGGAAGAGGAAAAGAGCAGAGGAAAAGAAAAAAAAGGCTGAAGGGAGACACTGCAGTGATAAAATATACTGTAGAAAAGAGGCTGTCAGTGAAAACAGGAAAACAGGACAGAGAAGTTCAGAGTGTGAGAGGATGCAGTGAAAATATACATGGGTAGAAACGAGAAACAAAAGGTAAAGCGGGGAGAAGGGGAAGAAAGCAGGGGAAAAGAAAGGTGGCAATGTGTCATAAAACTACCTGTCGGGACATACTTCTCACAGGACAATCACTCCCTCTCCGATCTCTCAGTTCTAATCCTCAAAGGGAACTTACAAAACACCTTCTGTAGACAAGCCTACAAACTTCACTTCATAAATCTACTGGATACAAAAAATCATGGACTCAATATAGACATTGATTTTATGACACATTACAACCTGCCTAACATGCGATTCACCAGGTACCTTGACAGCACCTCTTACATTCTTTTCTTCCACCTCTTCTCCTGTCCCCCACTCTTCTGCCCTGTCTCCCTGATTTACCACTATTTCCTTCTCCAGAACCTCTTTCTTATTCTGTAATATTTCCAGTTAGCCTTTCTTTTCCCCTGCTTTCTTCTTCCTCTCTCCCGCTTTACCTTTTCTTTCTCCTTTTTACCTATTTATATTTTCACTACAGCCTCTCATGCTTTGAACTTCTCTCAGTCCTGTTTTCCTAATCTATTTTCTCTTCCCCTGCTTTCTTCCCCTTCCCTCTCTGCTTTACCTTATGTCTTCTAATTTCTACCTATTTACATTTTCACTGACATCCTGCCACACTTTTAGCTTCTCTCATTTCTTGGAGTCTGACAACAGGAGAGAATCCCTAATGCCTGAAGAAGGTGACTGTGCCCAAAAGCTTGCCAAGAATTTTTTTTCCAACTACCCAGTTGGTCTAGTAGAAGATATCACATCTACTCAAAGAACCTTGCCTGCCTATGTCCTTAGACCAACACGACCACAACCAAAAACCCAGCATGAACTCAATTTACACTCCTAACACTGCCTGAACAGAGAGACTGCTGCTGCTGCCACTGCTAGGAAGTTGGTTTTAAACTTTGGGTGCAGCAGGATTCAAAAGGGGGCAGGGCATAAAACTGCACCAGTGTACCCCTCCTGGATCCACCCCTGGATACAGATGGTATCTGCAACACACCACAGGGCAGGGAAAGGAATGTGCCAAGCTGAGTTGCTTGTCACTAATCTCCCACTCAGAGACCAGATCCAGCCCACAGGGCCACTGGGTTCAGCAAAGCTGAGGCAGAACATGAGATTTAACTATGCCTCAGCTGCTCCCCATAAAAACTATGTTTGCTTGTTGTTACCCTACAGTGTGACAGATCATGGTATTTTGCTGGTGATATTTCTGGTTTAAATAGTTTGTTGTTACTGTAAATGTTGTATGCCCCAGTTCCCCGACTGACTTGTATACCAGGGAAGAATGGGTTAGTGTCAGTCCAAATTAGACCTCTAAGTGAAGATAGGGCTTTGACCCAGGGTGGAAAAAGTCTCCAAATGACAGGGATGAGCTGTGCCACAATGTATCATGGCCAAGGATCCTGGTTTTCTCTGCTTAAAAACAAACAAACAAAAAAACCCCCACAAATTCTCCAATTAAAAAAAAAAAATCCCAAAATCCAAGTTTGAGCTCCCTCTGCTCCATGCGCTCACCAGGATGCAAGTCCAGCTGAAGCTGTCCCCTCTGCTGCTTTGTGGCAAGGAGCAGTTTTGCTATGCTGGTGCCCCTCACTCCCAAATCACAGCCCTGCCAGCATGACTTGCACCCCCCTGCCCTGCCACCACCAGCATGGCATGATCTGCAGGCAGAGATAGCCTTATGGGTGGACAGTGGGGACAACCGTCCAGGACACTGAGTTATAGAGGAGGGGCACAGTGCCACAGTACCCCAGGGCAAGGCCCTGCCTCAGTTCAGATGGGGCAGGAGGCAGCAAGTCAGGGGTGCCCCTCATTCCCAACCCATAGCCCCTACCCCCTGCATTCCACCCTGCCAGAGTGCTCCCAGCCCCCTCCTGTGTGGGGCAGGGGGCGTGTGGGGCTTTCTGAAGCTTGGTCTCTGCCCTGATGATGCAGAGCTGGTCCAGATTCACCAGAGCTTGGCCCCCGATGGCCTAGACTGGCCCAATACCATCAGGGCCATATGCCAAGCGCTGGGATGCCCAGACCACTCTTGTGCCATTGAGGGAGGGGGCCTGATGGTGCGGGGCTGGTCCAGACCATCAGGGGCCAAGCTCTGGGAAGCCCAAACAGACCCTGTGCTATGAGGGGTCCCTGCAATGGCACAGACGCGGTTCAGGCACAGCCACTGACAACACGTTGGGAGAGGGGAATGGGGAGGGGGCACATGCCACCCCTACGTTTATGCCAGGTGTGGGGTATGGGGCTGCAACTTGGCTGGAACAGCAGACTGTGCTGCCACTGCCATCAGGAGCCCCAAGCTGCCACTGCTGAGACTTGCCGTCACTGCTACAGCTGGGCAGCAGCCCCAGCTCCCAACTCTGCCCCAAGGGTTTCTGGCCTGGAATGCAGCAGCTCAGCGCGAGTTCTCACATCAAGTTACTGCTGCTAGAAGCAACCACTGCCACAGCTAGGCAGCACCTCCAACCCCAGCCCAAGCCACAGTGGGACGAGGCAGCATGCCTGGAGACAAGGCAGCCCGCAACATGGGACAGGGTGATCGCTGGAGGCTAGAGGCAGCACCCTGCTAGCCTCAGCACTCCTGGAGCTGTCACACTGCCGCCGTCACCACTACCACCTCCACACAGGTAAGAGAAACTGCCTTTCCAGCCCTACCCTTGGCAAAGCTGGGTCCCAGCATCGGGATCCTTCCCCGGTTCCCCAAGAACATCCACAGACCACTCCACACTCCTCCAGCCCCCACCCACACACCCCTGCCAGCTCTCCATGCAGACTCCACCCCACCCCCCCACCAGGCAGCATGACCTTCACCAGATCCACAGTGCCAACCTCCAGCCTCCCAGCTGCCCCCCCCACTCCATAGCTCTGGCAGCTGGGGGCCCCCCCTGGGCCTGGCAGCAGGGTGGGAGGGGGCGGGGGGCTGTGGCTTAGAGTGAGGGGCATCAGCAGGGCTGGGGGGCTGTGGCTTGGGAATGAGGGGCAATGGCATGGGTAGGGCACCAGAATAATTGGGGCTGCGCAGCACCACAAAGCAGGGGCTGGGGACAGACGCATCCTGCTGAATAAAGGGAGCAAGGAGAACTCTGATTTTCCATGACAAAAAACCCAAAATCAAACACCAACATTTATAGGTATTTAGTATTTATCTTATTATAGTGATTGAAGCATTGGTAGGCTTCCAAATTAGAGCATGCGTGTCTTGAGAGAGAACAGTCAGAGCTGTTTATGTGAGTGGGACTTTGCCCAAGAAGAGCTGCCTCCTTTGCTATACAAGATTTCAGGTGCAAAGCGCTGAAGTCCCTTCTGTAGGAGCTAAGCTATAAAGTGGCTCTCCAAGGGGGCCAGAGACCTAGGGAAGGGTAGGAACTAGAAGGCCTTCCCCCAGAGTCCAAGGAGGCAGGGGTTTTCCAAAGTGATATCAAACCACTAGTGCCAGTGTAGATGAGGTCTAACCAGCACTGAGTACAAGTACTGTGTACAGTTTTGGGCTCCACATTTTTACAAAGATGTGGAAAGTTAGAGAGGGTCCAAGGCAAGCAACAAAAACAATAAAGGGCTTGGAAGCAAGCCATACAAAAGGTTAGAGAGAAATAAGCATGTTTAACTTTCAGAAAAGGCTCTTAGGAGGAAACATAATAGCAACCTTCAAATATCTGAAGGGCTGCCATAAAGAAGAGGGAGTACATTCTTCTCTCTCACTGCAGAGAATAGGGCACACAGCAATGGCCTGAAGTTGCAGCTAAGTACGTTTAGACTGGGTATCAGGAAACTTCTTCAGTGTTACAACGGTGAGGCAATGGAATAGACTGCCTCAGGAAGTGGCAGACTCTCCATCACTGGAGGTGTTCAAGAAGAGGCTGGATAAGTGTAGTCAGGGATGATCTAGAAATAGCAATGCTTGGAGTGTGTTGTGGAGGGGAACAGTGGAAGTGCAGAAGACAATCATACATGTATCACTTGCAGATCATAAGTTCTGCAGTGCAGAGCAGAGCAGGTGGACACTGAAGAATGAAACAGCTCCACAAACGCCTTGGTTATAAAACTGGATCTGGTTTTGCCACGCTTCTTGGTTTTTCTGGTTACCGCAAGGGCCTCGAAGGATTTTTTTCTCCTCCTACAGGCATCAGAAATCATCAATATCAATGATCAGCTATGCTTTGATATGGGGATGATGTCTGCCAGGAGGGGATTACTGGTGAGTTTTAAGGTGGCTGAGGAGTCCAATCTGTGCTTTGCATATCCACAGATATGAAAAGTAGTGGCGGGGGGGGACATGGACAACGACAACAACCTACAGCTGTTTGCCTGGATGTTGTGCGCTTTCCTTCTTCCTCTACCATTACTTGGCGTCCTGAACAAGACTGTTCTCTTTGAAGTGGGTTGTAGCTTTATGTATGGTACAGCAACATTGAGACCTGTTACCAGCCAGCACTTCCCAATTTGTAGGGTTGATGCCACCCTTCTTAAGGTATGCTTTCAGGGTGTCCTTGTAGGATTTTCTCTGCCCTCTGATGGTCCTCTTACCAGGACCAAATTGAGAGAAGATGACTTGCTTCGGAAGACGAGCGTGTCAGCCATCCGCACACAGCAGCCAGCCCAGTAGCGTTTCTGTATCATGATCTTTGCCTCAATGCTGGTTTTGTTAGCTGCAGGGAGGATGCTGGCCTTGGTGCAGTAGTCTTCCCATCTAATGTGAAGGATCTTCCTGAGGCAACACTGATGAAACCATTCCAGGTGCTTAAGATGGCTTTGATAGGTCATCCATATTTCACACCCATACAGGAGCGCGGGGATAACCACTACACTGAGACCAAGATCATAAGTTTCCAACTGCAGATCTCAAAGACACAGCGAAACAGCTTTCCAAAGGATACACTAGCACAGAGAATCATATGTTCGATTTCTACGTTCAGACTGACTGGGAGAAACCGTCAACGTATGGGAAGTGCTCAATGTTTTCCAGGGGTTCTCCACCAATGGTAATTTGTGGGGGCAAGGGGACAGTTTGTTCTGGGGTAAGCTGATGAAGCACACTGGTCTTCACAATGTTAAGGGGGAATCCCAGGCTGTGATAGGCACTTGAGAAAAGGTCAAGGGTGAACTGCAGACGTGCACAAGGATAACACAGTCATCAGCATACTGAAGGTCAGTGATGCCAGTCTTGGCAACTTTCATTTTTCTGTGAAGGCGCTGCAAGTTGAAAAGCTGACCATCCATTCAATACTCAACCCCAATTCTTGGAGGAAGGCGGTCGCAGATGAGAATCTCAAATCACAGCAAGACAGATGGAGGAAAGGGTAGGGGCAGTGATGCAGCCCTGCTTGACACCAGTACGGCTGGTAAGCGTCTCTGATCCATTCCAAAGGACTATGGCTGTCATCCTGTCATGAAGTAGCCTGAGAACACTGATGAACTTCAGTGGACAATCAAACCTAGCCAGCACCTTCCCTAAGGCTTCACATCTGATTGAATTAAAGGCTTTGGTTAGGTCAATTATTGTTATAAACAGCTCCTGGTGTTGCTCTCTACATTTCTCCTGGATCTATCATGCAACAGAAATCATGTAGGTGGTACCCATGATGGTCTAAAGCCACACTGGGATTCTGGAAGGACTGCTTCAGCAGGGGGGGCAAAGAAATTCAGAAGGATGAGAGTAAGAATCTTCCTGGCAATGGAGTGGAGGGCAATGCCTTGGTAGTTCCCCACACACTGACTTGTTTGTCCCCTTTCTTGAAGATGGTCACAATACTGGCATTCTTTAAGTCAGGTAGAACTTCCTTATTAAACAATATTTTGATGAGAAGTTGGTGAAATTTTTCATAGATGTTAGGGTTGGAAGGGACCTCAAAGGATCATTGAGTCCAATCCCCTGCCAGTGGCAGGAAAAAGTGCTGGGGTCATGTGACCCCAGCCAGGTGCTTGTCCAGTCTCCTCTTGAAGATCCCCAAGGTAGGGGAGAGCACCACCTCCCTTGGAAGCCTGTTCCAGATTCTGGCAACCCTAAGCGTGAAGAAGTTCTTCCTGATGTTCAACCTAAATCTACTCTATCAGCTTGTGGCCATTGTTCCTGGTTATTCCAAAAGGGTGCTCTGGTAAACAGAGCATCTCCTAGTCTCTGCTGCCCCCCACTGGTGAATTTGTATACTGCCACAATATCCCCTCTCAGCCTTCTCTTGCGGACACTGAAAAGGTCCAGGTCCCTCAACCTTTCCTCATAAGGCCTTCCCTGCTGGCCTCTAACCATATGAGTGGCCCTCCTCTGGACCCTCTCAAGGGTGTCCAGATCCTTCTTGAATTGCGGTGGTCAGAATTGGGCACAGTACTCCTAGCTGCGGCCTGACCTGTGCTGCGTAGAGGGGGAGCATCACCTCCTTGGACCTCTTCATGATGCACCTACGAATGCATGACAAAGTACAGTTAGCTCTGCTAATTACTTCATCACATTGATGACTTGTATTCAACTTGGAGTTGACAATGACTCCATGATCCCTTTCTGCCACTGTGCTGCTGCTGGTTCCACCAGCTTGAAAGACCACTGCAGCCTCTCAGTAAGGTATTGCTGAAGAGCTTCACATATAGCGTGGTCTTGGAATGCCCTGATGTTAAATTTTTTCTGCATTCCTTTCGGTTGTTTACAGTGCTGTGGTACAAGCTGCATGCCCATGATTAATCCGACTAAGCGGTAGTCTGTCCAGCACTCATATGCACCTCTCAAAACTTAGGTGATATGGACATCAATATGATCACAAGCTCTGAGAATAATGTAGTCAAGAAAGTGCTAGTGATTGGAGCGTGACTGTTTCCAAGTAGTCTTATTTTTGTTACTCTGTCTAAAGATTGAATTCATGATGAGCAAATCACGCTCTGCACATTTGCCGAGGAGGAGGATACCACTGGAATGGACTTCCCCCACACAGTCTTTCCAATGATGACACTCCAGAGTTTAGTGTCACTGAACTCTTGCAATGAAGTTACCCATGAGGATGAGCTTGTCTTCTCTGGCAGTGGCAGTCAGAACTGTGTCAAGACCACAGTAGAACTGTTACTTGTTGACTTTTTCACACATGAGGGCATATGTGTTGATGATACCGGTTGTTACTGAGCCTGAGACAGAGAGTCACAAAGCATTCATTAATGGGCGTTCTAAAAGCTGACTGAATCTTGTTCTTGATGGCAAAGCCAACCCCATAAATAAGTCTCTGTTCAGGTGACTTTCCTTTCCTTTCCAAAAAGACCCACTTCCATCTTCTTTCAGCTGGCCTTCATCTGCCCAGCGGGTCCCATTTAGGGCAGTAATATTGATGTCATATCTTCCAAGTTCTCTAGTTACTATGCCGGCTCTTCTTTCAGGACACTCATTGTTCAGGGAATCCACAAGAGTGCAGACATTCCGTGTGGTGAACTTCAGTACTTTATTTTGCTGGTTTCAGCCACAAGTAGAGTGATCCCACAGGATGCTGCAGTCCAGCCAGGGGAGGTTTGAGACAGCCTACGTTTAGGGCACCTTTTCTAGTCCCTTCCCCGTTCAGAGTGAGCAGAAGGGATCTTAAAGAGGACTGCTCAGTCATGGCTGCAGCTGCTGAATTGTACTTCTGTCTCGGTAAGTGCAAAATGACCATCACACGACTGCTACCTACATGCAGATTTGTGACTAGGGACTCCCAGAAATCACTGTTCCTGTCTCCACCACCATTCATCCATCATTGCAGGGCTTGGTTTGTGGGAGATGTTAACATCCCTGGCAGAGGTTTGCACGTGACACCTTTTAATGTGGGAAAGCCAGCGCAGAAGCAACAGCCAAACGAACTTGGCAGGAAAGAGCCATGAACCCAGTGGCAAGGATGTCCAAGACAACCAGAGACCTCCGTTCCACTGCAACCCTCATCTGCCTTCACAACCACAGAGAACCAGAAGGTCTTCAAGTATGCCTGTTTTGCCATTGGGGTCTTCAGGAGTTTGGATCATGCTTAGTCTAGGACCAAACCTCAGATCTGTTTGCCAGGGGAGACCCTACCCGGAGTACAAGACTCAAGACTACATGGCTCTAATGGTCATTGGAACACAAGCTTCTCCACCATGACAAGGTTATAGTCCAAGGTGTCAAAATTATTAAGTGGCGATTGGAAGCCAAGGCCAGGGGATTTTAACCAAGGTATGTTGATGCTCCTCTGGGATTTAAGAACTAGTTCTTTGCTCCTCCCTTCAGGGTCAAACTGACTGACACACTCAGAATCACGGAAGAAAATTTACACCATGATTATACTGGCATAGATTGGAGGGAGGGGTTGCTTTCCTCTGTTAGGGAGAAGGTATGGTCTTCTTCCTTGGATCTTTCAAATACATTTTAACAAACTGCTTCCCATCCGTGCAGTGGCAGGACACACAGACAGTATCTCTGCCTCTCCTTTGCCTATGCCAAGTTAAGGTGTTCTTGTTTTTCAGAAATTATCTAGTAATTGCACAAGAGCTGTTTGTGCAGTTTTTCATGGAATAGGCCAGACAGACACTTGTACAGAATGGCTGACATAGGAATAATCCTGCCTGGAGCAAGAAGATGGGCTAGAAGAGGTCCCTACCAGCTCTACTTTCCTATGATTCAAAGACAAATGTAAGCTGTTACATCTAAAAGAAAAAAAAAAAACCCCAAATGCACAGATTCAGAATGGGAGATAACTGGCTAAGGAGGCTCGCTGCCTAGAAGGATCCAGGGGTTTTGGTAGATGACAGCTTATCATAAGCCAGCAGAGTTTCATAATTTCATATATGTTAGGGGCTGGAAGAGAATTTACAGATCATCCGGCCCAGCCCCCTGAACAGTGAAAACTTCTGTTCTCACACACAGCATCAATCCTTCACATCCAAAGTGATGAAGTCAACAAAAAAGGAAATGTAAAATTTTGGGCTGCAATAACAAAAGCACTTGAAGATGAGAGATAATAGTACCACTATTTGACAATGGTTAGGCTTCTCTGAGCAGCATGCGCTGCCCCTGCATCTGTATTTTTAAAAGGATAATCAAGAAACAGGAGAGGATCCAGAGGTGAGCAAATATGAAGGGGTTAGAGCACAAGCCATACAAGGAAAGGTTGAGAACAAGTAATACTTACTTTGGAGAAAAGGAGATTAAAGCAGTACATAACAGTGGTTTTTAAATATTTGAAAGGACACTGTAAAGAAGAATTACTCTTCTCACTTGCTGTAGTTTTACACTCACTGTTGTAAGTCTTGCTGTCTGGCAACATAGGATTTAGATTAAATCTCAGAATAAACTCCTTTACTGTCAATACAATAGGAAAGTGAAGTAAACTACCCAAGAAAATTGTTGAATCTCCTTTACTGCAAGTTTTCAAGAGGCTGAATAAACATTTGTCTTGAATAACATACGAATAATGCATCCTGCATTCATGCAGTGAGTTGGACTACATGACAGTCGAGGTCCCTTCCAAACCTACGATTCTGCTACTCTAGAATACCTATAAATTCCCAGCCCTACTTTTAGACCAGGGACCTCCTATTTACCTGTGCGCTTTGATCATGATGGACAGTCACCTTATACCCAAGGCACTCAAAGAGCTTCTCCAGAGCAGCGCAGTCAACGTCACCACCTGAACGGAACTCCAGGTCTTTCTCACCATTGAAATGCACATTGCTGAGTACAAGCGCTAGGCCCCGGGGGTCTGATGTTAATTTGTATGCCTGTGAAGGAGAGAAGGGACACACATTGTACTTCCTTCCCTACACAGGCTGAGCCTACCACAATGAGAGTACCAATTATTATTATTTTTTTTTTTTCTTTTTTAAGTGTGCAAAACTTTTGGAGGTGCAACAGAGAGAAAACCCTCGCAACTTAGGAACACTCTTCATGGGAATGACTACACAGTTTAGGTGACCGGTGTCTAAATACAAACTGATCACAGCAGAGGATTAGGAATGTCCATTACTTCTCTCACAAGATTTGTAAATAACCCTGACTCAATTCTCACTCATCTAAGGAGCTGTTGCCTCTTGTCCACCTGAGAGAGAACCAAAGCAACCAAGACTGAAATGAATCAGTAAGCAAGAACAGGGAGCCCCAAAATCTTAAGCTTATTTAAGGAGTGTACATGTGAGCAAGGACAACGTTCTGCACTATTGTTCTGCCTACACATTCTGCCCACATTCTGAGATAATTGAAGGAAAAGAGAATAAGACTGGAAGACCTGTCTGAAGACATTCCTGGTGAACAAAACCAGAGGCTTAAGTTTGCAACAATAGTTGACCCTGAGCTAGAGTTTTCTGACCCCACTAGTAAGATTCACATCAAGAAAAACACCCGAAACATGTGGCAACACCTGAGAATATCTGGCAGAATATACACCAACATCCCAGAAAAGTAGTTTGCCACTTCCTCCTCTGCCACTAAACTTGGTAGTGAAATGGTTTCTCTTCTGCTCACCTATTCAAACATCCCACCTCTCGCGAATGAGAATCCCTCTCTTCCATCCTTATAAAACACTCACCAAGCGCTGATGAGTCCGATAAAATTCTGGAGTGCAGGCCCTCACTTGAGGGCAAGGGGGACCATCTCCATTATCAAGGGAATGTTCCAATGGCTCTGTGCAAGAAATATACAGATGAGCAAACAAACACTTATCATAAGGTATCTGTCTTTAACATTAAAGTCCCAAACAAACATTTAATTGAAGAACCACATTCGTTAAGTTTCATTCATTTTAACACCCTAAAGCCAGACCATTTTTGGGTACTCAGGTCACATCTGGTGATCCAATTAATAAAAATTACTACTTTTTCCTTCTATTTACTATGGAGAGCCAAGATGTTTGCCCTTCCTTGAGTTTTTACACTCATGCAGAGTCTGCTAATTATTCAAGTCTAGAAACACAGGGGAGCAAAGGCAAACTGCAAAAAATATTTAAGTGCTGAAACTGTTGGGTTCAGTTAAGACAGGGGTGGGCAATTATTTAGGCTAGAGGGTGACATACAGAGTTTTTGTGAGCTGCTGAGGGCTGGGTCAGCACCCCCTGCCTGCAACAGCTCACCACAACTCCCCAAGTGGCAGATTACTAGACCTGACAGCGGATCACAGCTCTACCCCAGGCCATGGCCCCATGCTGTCACTGCTTGGCCATACCCACCCTAGCATCTCCATGGAGACCAGCCTTTTCAAAACTGATGTGGAACATTCATAATTAGCAAGCTAATTCTTTTCAATATTTTCTTGGCTTATATATCTTTCTTAAACTTATATTCACTACAGGCAGGGGCGACACGTAGGGGGTGCATGCAAGTACACGTACACCCCCTGCAAAAAGGCAGTCACCAATCGCCCCTGGCCACTGCCAACAGTGCCTGCAGGTGGTCGGTGCTTGCCACCCCCATGACAGTGCCAGCGGCATCTGTGGGAGCTCCCTGCTCAACACCACCAGGCTCCTGCTGCCACAGCCGTGCCCCCCAGCCACTGGGGGTACACACCATTCATGACTACAGGTTTCCAGAAAGCTGCTTGAACACTTTTAAAAGTATGAAAATGCTTAGGGTGAAAACAAAGCCTTTTATCCTGGAATCCTACAGACATACAAGCCCCACTGTCTCACATTGGATAAAGACAGATATAGGTGTTGCATTAAAAAGCCTGGGACAATCTTTACAGTTTGAATGGCAATTAACTCAAACTAGCTGCAACTGTCCCAGCAAGTGTTCTCTCAATAAAGCATGACAATGGACTTGTACCATCTATAGGACCCCAGGATAACTCCTAGGCTGTTTTTACCCTTAAAATAGTTGAATAGATTTCATAGATTTTTAGGGTTGGAAGTGACCTCAGTAGATCATTGAGTCTGACCCGCTGCCTGGGAAGGAAAGACAGCTGGTCAGATGACCCCAACCAGGTGCTTGTCCAGTCTCCTCTTAAAGACCTCCAAGGTAGGGGAGAGCACCACGTACTTTGGAAGCCCCTTCCAGATTCCAATTACCCTTACCGTGAAGAATTTGTTCCTGATGTCCAATCTAAATCTGCTCTCTGTCAGTTTGTGGCCATTGTTTCTAGTTACCCCAAAGGACACCCTGATAAACAGAGTATTTCCTATTCCTTGCTGGCCCCACCCTGATGAATTTGTAGATGGGCACAAGATCCCCTCTCAGTCTTTTCTTGCAGAGGCTGAAGAGATCCAGGTCCCTCAATGTCTCTTCACAGGGCCTTACCTGCAGGCCCCTAACCATATAAGCAGCCCTCCTTTGGACCCTCTCAAGGTTATCCATATCCTTTTTGAAGTGCAGCACCCAAAACTGGATGCAGTACTCCAGCTGCTGCCTTACCAGTGCTGCATGGAGAAGTATCACCTTGTTAGACCTGTCTGTGATGCACCTGCATGACAGAGTGCAGTTA